ATCCAAGCTTCTCTCGGAATAATCAAAAATCGGCCTTCTGCGTGGTTTACTTCAGATTCGACTTTGACGAGGGTTGCCCTGCCCATCATCCCCCCGATCACTCTCCTCCCAACGCTCTCCAAGGGTTCGTCCTCCGTCTGACTTTTGATCTCTGCCACTACTGGGATGTTCTCTGGGTTCATCTCGTGTACCTTCAAAGACTCCTCAAACGTTCGTTTGCTCGTTAAGCCGTAATTCGCCCGAAGATCGAACTCTTCGCCCTCGGGAAAACGTTTCCAAACGAGGAGATATCGGTTCGATGTGAACACAGATCTTCTATCGATCCTGATCGGAAATCAGCGACGCAACACAAACGCTCGAACGAATCAACCGAATACCGACGCTGATCGACCTGGAGATCGCAATCGTCATCGCTGTCGGACCAGCATGGGAATCGCAGTCGTCATCGCTGTCGGATTGAAATGGAGATCGCAGTCATCATCGCTGTCGAAATCGCAGTCATCATCGCTGTCGATAAGAGCGGCGCTCTTCCCTAGACAGAAAGCAACCAATATCAACGGTGGGCGCGTTGGCATTGCCGAAGAGCCCACGTTCCAGAAGCCATTCCTTGCCTTTTCCATCACCTCCTTTGCCAACCTCAACAATCCACCTGCCACTGCCCACACCGCGAAAAGCGAGCACGTACGAGGCGAGCTTCACCCAGAAGAACTCTTCGTTTTTATAATACCATGATCGAACAATCAATTGGAGCTGCTCTCTGTACTTCTGCAGCGTCCAACCCGGCTTGACAATGTCTGATTCTCTTACGTGCAACTTGTAGCAAACTCTGAAATAATAATTGTTCTGGCGATCTGGGGGAATTTCTTGCCAATCGCCGTTGATGTAGCAATCAGTGAACGCGATCCCTTGGCTGGGTGGTTTTGGCGCGCTGCATGCCGTCAAGAAATGGATCGCGATCTCCCTGAGGATGTGCTTGTTGGAGGAACTGCGCCTGAGTCGTTGTGCCATGTCTGCAAGTCTACTGCGCCAATGAGCATCCCACACCTTGTTCTTCGCCTGCTTCCGAAGGTGATCACCCTGGATCTTAGCGTAGTTCAACAAAACCTGCGTTGCACCTTGGGGCTCTTGCCGGGTACCAGAAACCACGTTGTCAATATTTTGTGATACAGTAGACCACTTCCACATCGCATCTTGCTAACTCTCGTCCGTGGAGATTTTAATAAATAAACCTTCAACTGCCATCAAGATGTCTCTGCCGCGCTCTGGTAGTTTAAGAGTTTCGCCTTCCTTCTCCTCTTGGATGTCCCAGCTCCCTAACATATGATACCTGAACAGCTGCTGCGCGTGAGCTCTCCAGTTGATGCCGTGCAAAATCAGAAGCGCGAAAAGTTGGTGGTCAAGCTCGTCATGAAACCCAGTCATCTTAGCATCCTGTATCAGGTATTTCGCGATGGCGCAAATCTTGATCTCGCCATCGGTGTAGTTTGGCGAATCTCCCTTGATCTTATCAAACATATTCTGAACTTTTTCCTGCAACGACAACGCGTCATCGGCGGCTACGGCCGCCTCGGGCGGCGGCGGGGCGGCAGGAGCGGAAGCGGCGCCGCGGCCGAGCTCCGCGAACACGCTGTTCGGCTTGAACCGTTTGGGGGCGCATAGCTGCTCCGCTCCATCAGGGGGAGGTCGTGGTTCATGCCGCCGAACACGTCAAATCGCAAATCGGAAGACAAATCTGGAATCCCGAATGGCCCAGCAAATAGCATTTGGAACATGCGAACCGAATGCAATGACAAGATCACTTCGAAGAGCTGGATATCCAACAAAACCCATCGGTCGTTGAGGAAACGATAAAAATTTCCATCACATGTCTTAACAGCTTCGAAATGTTCCACCACATAGTTTTCGTCCTCAAGGTATGCCGGGTTGGAAATGCGAAGAATGAGGTGCCCATGGTCCACCCGTTGTAACTCATCCCGAAGAGTTGGTCTGACGTAGTAGTTCAGGGGGCGCAGCATGTTGTTTCCATCTTCCAACACCCACAATGGAACATCTGCTGTGCACTGTACAGCTGGATCGTGCGCGCGTAGCGCGCGTGACAAACACGAATAAACTTTGCCCACGTCGCAGGTTATATTCTCCCAAGAAACAAGCACTCGATTCGGCGGCGAGCGATGAGCGCGACCAGGAGTCATCCCCCACAAAAGTTCTTGCTCAGAAAGAAAAACATCTCGTAGGCGATGAGCGCCGCAGAAACCGAGAACAGGGCAAGGACCGACGATGCCACACCGACAATCAATCTGCATCCGCGCCCAATGCGCATGCATCTCGCAAGGCTGATTGCGCAGACAATCCACCGTGAGCGGCGCTCCGCAATCGAGGATGTTGTCGCAGACCTCGCAAACATCAGGCTCGTCAGTGACGCGTTCGTGGACGTGCTTGAAAATCATGTAGCACAGGTGTGTGCTCAGCAGCATGCTGATTGGAGACCACGAGCCACCAGATGAGGAAGCAGAGGTCGGCGAAGAAGTGGCTGATGAAGATATGTGCTCGGCGTCGTGCTTGCATCTCCTGCGGGAAGCAATAACAAACTCAGTGACAATGAAAATACGTTTCACGAGTTGGAAAACAATGTTTTTGTTCACTTATTTGTGTCAGTATTCGTTCATCACGAGATTTTATTACTCCCATCCTGGAACAAATCTTCCTGGTGCGTCTAGATAAACGGCTCCTCTGCTGAGAATACATGTATGCCCGGCACCTGGAAGACGCCAGGTACTTCCCGAAAGGGTCTGGGACGTTCGAGATATTCTCACCATCATCTGCAGAACTCTCTAGCGAATAAGTGTCACTGTCCGACACATTCTCTGGCGAGTAAGTGTTATTATCCGACACATTCGCATTGGTCGACATCGCCGCCAGTCTGGCCTGACGCCTAGCCTTCTTCCAAGTTGATGGATTAGAATGGCTGATATCAATGGTTCTGCAGTGATAGAGGGCCTCAGAACGCACCAGCACAAGCTGACTCGATCGCGCGAGCAGATCTTCCCCGATCTTATCAGAATCGATGTTTTTTGAACACATCAACACCAGCTAATGCAATTGCGTGAGTAGAACTGCCCCGATCTTATCGCATTCACATGTCAAAAAATTCACGGATGGAACAAAGGACTAAGGAGCGGACGTTCTTAAACTTGACGAGCACAGAATTTGTGCCGAAGAAAACGCTCGGCCCTGCAATGGTTCCTGTCATTCCGAAAACATTGTCCGAGTCTTTTACAACGTAATACACAGTATCGTTCACACGGAAAGGAACCCCGTCAAGGCCGACGCACGCGACTTCTGGCCACTTCCCTTTTTTAGATGACCGCCGGGAGTTATTAGAAGAACTCGGCCCGCTCACAGGGTCCAAAAATGCACCATCTGGAACAATTGTGGGCGATTCTGGCTGGTCGTCTTGGATGAAAGGTATCTCGTCGTCGGGGTGGAATGCAAATTCATCGTCGAAATCCCTCGACCGTGCGACGTCGGTCTCCTCGTTGCCCTCGATGCGCCCGGCACCTGAGTTGACGAATACATTAAACTAGAACAAACAATTGGCTGTGATCATGGACAGCGTGGCTTTCGCGAACGCGATCAAAATCCGAATTGGAAACCACATCAACCTAAAAGGCGATTAAGGCAGCCGCAGCTGCGAGACGACCATGCCCAGTCATTATTGATCTCGTCGTCCACCCTCTCCAGAAACCCACTCCTGTGGATAGAAAGCCCTGCGGGGGGAGACATGAAGTGGCCGTGCATCATGACGCGATTCACCTTACATCACAGCGAAAGCTATCACTGCGAAATATCAAAGATCACTGCGTAATACAAATCTACCAACGATCATTGCGAATGCAATCACTCATGTCTGATCAAAATCCAAGCGATCAGCGATCCGTGCTATCCTGGGGGCGTCGCGGCCATGGTGTGACAAGTAGCAGAAGCGATGTGCTCCCTACTTAGATCTTGGCCTATTGACAGCCAAGAGAAAGCTGAAGACGCCTCAACTTCGCTTGAGTACGAATGGCGTTGGGAGGGAAAGGAGAGAAAGAGATACATCAAAATATGATATACAGTGTTCATATATATGTGTCTTGGCTTCCACAGGCTAACCAACACCGATGGTTGAAGCGCGGTTATCTTCGCACGTCAAAACAACGCAGTGTGCATGTATCGGGGAGGCTTCTCTCGCAGCGGCGGCGCCTCGCAGCGACGATCTTTGAGCCCCCCTCGCAGCGGCGACGTCTCGCGGCGGCGGTCTTCTGGAGACGCACAAGGCCTCCAGAAAAAAATAGCTCGGAATAGAGAACCAGCGGTCAGGCTCTCGGCTGGGTTGCTCTCTCTTGGAGCCTGCTTCGCAGGCGAACGAGCGCGGTTGCCTTCGCTACAGTGGCGCGGCCCTTGCTGGAGTCTCTTCTCCAGCAGGGCCGCGCCGATGCCTGCGCGCTCGCGCCGCAGAGGTTCTAGCATGGAGGAGGGAAGAGGAACTAAACGATTAAATCCGGCACGGTATCGTATTATATCGGAACAGTTAAAACAATAATACTGGCTACAGTATATACCGATGGTCAGGTTTTACATAGCACTGCGCACTGCTCTGAATATACCTGGGAGCGTAAGGTCAGACATTGTGTTGATGGGATCTGCAACTAACGTCTCTTGTGGTGGTGAGCCTGTTCATTGTTACTTGTGCAAAGGCATTCATTTTTTGAATGCCCTCTCTCGGGCAAGGCGTTAGCAAAGGGCGGGCCGCTCACTGCTTAGCCCACCGCTTCTTCCACGCGCGGAGCTCTTTGGCGAGCTCCGCGTGGTTCTTCAAGGAGGAGCCAAGGTCGCAGCTGGTCTTGGCGTAGCTCTTCTTGAGAGCCTGAACGTGGCGTGTTGTGGAATTGTGATGCTACCGCGGGTTTTCACATATACTTCAAAATCTTTATGTAAATAGATTTTCAAAGGGACGCGGCCTCGTGCTTGTAGTAGAGCTTGTTGTACTCCGTCATCCAGTGGTCAGCCCTGGTCGTCTGTCCGTAGAGGTTCCTGTAGCGCTGGTTGCTGCGCCTCCTGGGGAGGAGGGGGGAGGGGAGTTCAGGGGTGCAATAATAATTATGTGTTGTGTTTTAGCGGGGTTGTTTGTAACGCAATGGTTGGGGGTATGTCGTGGGTTTTACCTTCCCCCGGGGTCGTTGCTTGCTCTGCCTTGCTGCGAGCTTCGGCAAGAGCTTTTTTCAGTGGCGCCACGGCGGCCCGCGCAGCCTTCTGCACCGCCTTCTTGATCTCGGGCTTTTTCAAGAAGTTCACCGCCCTTTTGGTGGCCAAGCGCTCCTTGTTCGCCTGCCGTGGATAGACGATGGGTGGTGGAGTTTGTTTCTTGGTTCTTCGGTTGTTTTTTTGTTTGTTGTTTGTGCAATCCGCTTGGGCCTGGAGTTTCTCGTAGTACTTCTTACTCCCGTGCGGCGGGTTCCCCATGGCGGTCTTGGACTTTATGTCGAGGGTGCAATCGCCAGCAACAAGAATAGCACAATCGAGGCTAAGGAGCCACGAAGAAGGCAACTCAAATTGCAAAGGGACGCGGGGAGAGGCGGGAGGGATGAACCACAAGACATCATCAGAAGTACTGCTGAAATGATTGCTTCGATGAAAGCATCCACTTTCCCCTCTCTCGCACCCTTCTTCTACATCTTTCCCCCTCATTTTCCTTCTTCTCCCTTTTCTCTCCCTCCCTCTTCCCTCCCTCACGTCTCCGCCGTGCCCCAGGATACTTTAGTGTAAGCCCCTGCCGCCGCCGGGCACCCGGATGCTTGAGTGCAAGTCCCTTCTTCGACTTGGCATTGCACTGCAATCGCATTGCATTGCAATCGCATTGCTTGGCAATCGCATTGCATGGCAATCGCATTGCAATCGCATTGCATTAGAATCGCATTGCATTGCAAAGGCATTGCATTGCTGTCGCATTGCACTGCATTGCAATCGCATCGCATTGCATTGCATTGGCTGGGGGGGGGGGGGAGAAGGGAAAGAGAACGGGGGAGAGCGCGGAGGACGGATGAGGAAGGGGGGGGGGGGGGGGGAGACGGATGAGGAGAGGAGGAGGGAAAGAAAGAAGGATGGACTGAGAGAGAGAGAGAGAGAGAGAGAAGAGAGAGAGAGAGAGAGAGAGAGAGAGAGAGAAAGAGAAAGAAAGAAGAATGAAGAAGTCAAGGAGAACATCACAAGAACTAGCGAGAAAACGGGAGAAAAAGCTCGGGAACCTCTAGAAGTGAAGACGGCGTCGCGCGCGCCACCACCTCGAGCGCTGCTTCGACCGCCGTCTCGAGTCGGGGCCCCGCGGGCCTCGCGTCGGCAGTGCCGTCGGCTGGCCTGTTTGGTCTGGTTGCGTCAGGCCCCCGCGCCTCCCTCGCCCCCCGCCCGCGCCCGCTGGCCCCCCAGAGGCAGCGCGCGGGAAAGCAAGGTCGACTCTGGTGTCCACAGATGGGGCGCGCGCCCGCAGCCGCGAGCGCCGCGTCGCCGACCGCCGCGGCGTGCGCCGGCAGAGCCCCGTGGAGCAACGCGCCCACAAGCAGCAACCCGAATCTGACCACCACGAGCGGGGTGCATACGGGCCCGGACACCCGCGCATCGCAGACCACCGTGCCGCATCGCTGAACGGCGCGACCGGCTACGCCAGCGCCTCGTCGCGCACCGGCGGGGCGGGCCCTGCTGCGGGAACCGCGCCGCTCAGCTGCGCGACGGGCACTGGCACTTCGACGATGCGCACCCCGTCGGCGAGCACCAGCTCAGGCACTATGTCGCTGACCAGCGCGAGGGGCGCCAGCCGCGCATCGGCGAGCCGCGCGACTGGGGGCAGCAACTCAACCCTGACGACCATGCACGGGGCGACCGCTGCCTCGAACTCTGCCCATGAGTCCCGGCCCAATCTTTCCCGGATCCACCATGGCACAATGGGGCTTGGATGAGTGAGTCGGCCTATTTCCGGGGGCTGCAATGGCCCAATGGAGGTGGGGTGCGAGCTTCGCCCTACTTCCGCGGGCCGCACAGGGCCAATGCGGGCGGGGCGCGAGCTCCGCCCAGCACGCTGGAAGGCACCAGCTCGACCCTGACTAGCACTAGGGTGGGCGGGGACTCCCTCGGGCACCGCGTCGTCCAACAGCGCGACGGCCACGGGCGCCTCGACGCGCCGCAGCACGCGGGGGAGCAGCGGTCCGACGCCAACGACAACGCGGGGGGCCAGCGCTATTTCAAGCACCACGGCGCCTAGCAACAGGAACGGCACCAGCAGCGCACCGTTGACGAGCGTGCCGGGGAGGAAGTGCTCGACCCTGGCGCCCATGAGCGAGGCGAGACAGGCCTCGGATTCCACGTCGCTAAGCAGCTCGACGGGCACTAACATCCCGACGAGCAGCAGCGCGTCGAAAATCAGCAACCCGACCCTCAGACCTACAAGAGAACGAGTTACGTCGCGAGTCGTACGTCGCTGAAAAGTAGGACGGGCACCAACAGCGCACCGTTGAGCAGCGCGCTGGCGTGAACCAGGTCGTGCCTGACATGCGCCCGCGGCGCGAGCACTAACTCGAGTGCCACGTCGCGGAGCTGCGAGACGCGCACTAGCAAATTGACGTCAAAAACAACGCCGCTGACCAATTCGGCGGGCACAAGCACCGCATCGCCGCACAGCGATGTTTCGAACACCGGGCAGCTGAGCCGCACGAAGGGCACTGGCATTTCGACGTTTAGCCCCACGTCGGGGGGCATCAGCTAGATCTATTAACCCGCTTGCGTGGCGATTCCCGCCACGAGTACAGGCCACTAGTGGAACGAATACCGCCTTGCATACTTTAGCAAGCACCCCACCCCGAGCACAGTTAAACTAGCGAGGCGCGTCGTGCGGGCGGTTGGGTGTTCTGGCTGTTCTGGACGACCTCCTGGTTTCCATGGCGCCCGCGCTCCGCGTTGGCCCAGTCTGGTTGTGAGGTGGGCGCTGCATCGAGTACAACGCCGCTGAGCACAGCTCGACCCTGGCGTGTGCTAGCGAGACGAGCATCACTTCGTGCGTCGCGTCGCTGAGCCACGCGACGTTCACCAGTAGATCGACGTCGAGGAGCACGTCGTGCTGAATTCTTGAACGAAAAATATCATCCCAACACAGAGCGGCATGCTGGAGAGAAGCAACTCGCCTCCGATGTCCACGGGTGGGACGCGGACGGCCGTGAACACCACGTCGCTGACTACCATGACGGCTACCAACTGATTCCCGTGGAGTATCACGTCCAAGAGCAACACCTCGACCCAGACGACCACGAATGGGAACACTACTGCCCTGAGTACCAGCATTCCGGCGCTGAGCAGCACCTCGCTGCCCACCACGGCGGGCATTTGCACCGCATCGCCGAACAACACGACTAGATGCACCAGCGCCAACAGGACAGGCACTGCCGCGAACACCATGCTGCTGAGCTGGACGACGGGCACGGGCACCTCGACGATACGCACCACGCCAGGGACCACCAGCTCGAGCACCATGTCGCTGACCACCACGACGGGCACCGCCCGCGCATCGTTGAGCAGCACATCTGGGAGCAGCAGCTCGACCCTGACGACCATGCGCGGGCCCTCGAGTTCTGTCACAAACCGCCCTGACCCACTGGAGGTGGGAGGCGAGCTTCGCCCCACTTCCACGAGCCGCACTGCCACAGTGGGGGTGGGATGCGAGCTCCGACGTGCCAAGAACACAGACCGCCCGGGTCGCCCCTCATCAGACCCGATCGCCCGCTCGCCCGGGGGCGCCGCCCCAAGCGAGCGACCAGGCGCGTCTAGCCCACCCGTAGCGCGCCAGTGCTACCACATCTGAGGCGCTGCGCGAACTGTTGGCGGCAACTTGCCCGTTGCTCCCACGCGTAGGGCCGCTGAGGAGGATGAGCCCAGGCGGCGCAACCTTTTTTTCCGGCGCCGAGGCGCGCATGCCAAAGCATGTTAGTAGAAGCGTGTGCCTCATGTGAGCGGCCTGATCACCGCTGCCCGCTCTTCTCCACTCGGGGTCGAAGCGGACCGCGCCAGGGCGTGGTCCAAGCGGACCGCGCCAGGGGTGAGGTCACCCCACCGCCCCTGTTCCATATGCGGCGCCTCCGGCGATGCGAGGAAGGCCTGCTGGGCACGCGCGGCCCGGGGGCCTGGACGACCCGTCGTCCGAATTGTTGCGATCTCCCTCTTCGCAGGCCTGAACATGGGCACCAAAACCAAAACCGGGGGTTGCCTCCACCAGGGGAAAATGATCCTAGGTTTTGGCGTTGGCGTCAATGTTTCGGCCATCTGGGCAGCACGAATATGACCACCATCACCAGAACAAGGATCACCTGCCCTCGGTGGAGGCACCCCGCGGATGCTGGTGGTGGTGCCAACCTCTGGGCCTCCGACCTCTCCCTCCTTCTGCGAGGAGCAAGGGGGGGGGCGTGGCCCCGCGCAACTCCCGAGAGAGGGCCCAGCTGAAGTTGAAGGGCCATGCGATGTGGGGCGGATTCATGAGGCTTCAAGAGCGGCGACCTGTATGACATCGTGCTGGCGTCCTCAGTGACAGCCGTCGGCAGGATGACCATCGAAGCCTTGACCCAGGTTGTCAACCGCTGGGCCTCCGACCGCTCCCTCCTCCTTCCTCCTTCGAGGAGCAAGGGGGGGCGGAGGAGAGGGAGCGTGGCCCCGCCAGAGGCGGCCGCCCTCGCGGCGGCCGCCGGGCGCGCCCAGAGGCCCCCGGAGGGCACCCCCCCCGCTCCTTTCGTCGGTAGAGGAGCGCGTTCCACTACTCGCCAAATAACTGCTCGCAAATGGCCTGGGTACGCCGCGGGGGCTCTGCGAGAAATGGCATCAACGCCGACCTCTGTTTTTCGGACGTAATGGAACGCGGTCGGTGAATAGGCCATTCACACCTCCTGCTGTCCCTCGACCCGTGCCGGAGCGTCCACGATATGCCCCCAGAGCTCTCCGGAGATCTTTGGGTCCCACCCCGACTTTCCTGGGCGTGCCTCGACATGCGTTGATCTAGTGGAAAAGAAACACGTAAACAGAAACGCTCGGAGATCCAAGCGCATTTCCTGGCTCGGCGCTGGGCAACCTCTCACTGGCGCGCAAGGGAGGCGCCTGAGGCGGGGCCTGGCGCCGATCGAAGCAATCCGCGTGGAGCTCCGAGAGTGTGTTCATTCAGTTGCGCTACCGTCAAGGATCGGCCTCGACTTCTCCAGCTACATCCCCCCAAGGCGACTGGCGACACGTCGTCAAGCACCTCAGGGACTGGGGAAACCAGAAATTACCAATACCACTCCTCCCCAGACCTCTCCCCGAGTGCGCTCTGACGGCGAATCCAGCCGTGGCGCCCATTCATAGCCAATCGGGACCCGGGTGCCCCACACCGCCCAGGAGCGCGCGGTTTCGATGTCGAGGGTCGATCGCCGATCTGTCGTCGATACATCGCCGATTCCAGGCCAAGGTCCCCCCCTGGGCAAGCCCCCCTTTATCACCCCCCCGCACCCAAGACAAAAACCTGTGCAACCGCGACGCGAAACTTTTGGACGCCCGAAATGGGTACGGAAAAAATGGGCACGATGGCCAACAGCAAATGTTGTCCCAGACCAACGGCGGCCGCTGTTGGGCGGGCGGCCTCCTGTCTCGAGTGGACACAGGCCGCGGCGGCGTGGACAGCGAATCCTGTTCAAAATGAACAGGAATTGTTGTTGGGCATTGTACCCATTCTTTCACCACCCATTTCGGGCGTCCAGATTTATCGCCCCCCCGCACCCAAGACAAGGACCTGTGCAACCCCGACGCGAAGCTGAAACCGAAGGTCGGAGTCCCGCGGCGAGTCCGGCCGCGGCGACGGAGGCCCAACCCCAGGAGGCCTCCAGAGGCGAAGACGGGGGCAAAGGGCAGCGGCATGGGCACCTTCGCCAGCCCTGAGGTTTCGTTCGTTCGCTCGCTCGTGCAGGGCGCGGCTTCGTTCGCTCGCTCGCTTGTTCGGGGAGCGGCTTCGTGAGGGAGGAGGAGGGGAGGAGGAGGAGGAGGAGGAGGAGGAGGAGGAGGAGGAGGAGGAGGAGGAGGAGGAGGGGGAGGAGGAGGGGGAGGAGGCGGAGGAGGCGGAGGGGGCCCCTCCCCGCCTGCCTGCGCGGGGCTCGTCGCCCCCCGCTCGCCGACCGCGGCCGTCGGCTGGCTGCCCTGGGCACCGCGGGAGGCGGCGGCGGCGGCCCATCCCCGCGGGGCACCGCGGAAGGGTGCAGCTCGCGTACGAGCGGGATCGCTCTTCGCTCCTCGCTCCTTGCTCCTCAGTTCTGATCCCTCGCTTCTCGCTCCTCGCCCTTCGCTCCTCGATTTTCCTCCTCCTCATCATCCTCTTCCTCTTCCTCCTTCCCCTCCTCCTCCTACTCCTTCTCATCCGTCCCATCCGCATCCATCCTCATCGCTCAGCAGCAGCACCAGCAGCACCAGCAGCATCAGCAGCATCAGCATCAGCATCATCATCAGTATAACATGCCCCTCTTCATCTGTGCTCCATCCCACCCTCCCAACCTATGTTTACAGAGGGTGGTGAGGAGAGGTAAGAGGGGGGAAACAGGCGGGCGCCGCGGGGGCCCGCGCGGCGCCCCGATGGCGGGAGTCCTCGCCTCGCCTGCCCCCCGTACCTCACGATGTAGTCTCCTTCGGGCGGGCGGGAGTGGAGAAGGAGCAGGGGCTAGCAGGGGCCCTCCTCGTGCCGAGGGAGGGGGGGGATAATCTCGAAACCACTTGAGCCAAAATGGTTTCGGATGCAATCCCACCGGCCCCCCGACGCACAGAGGGGGGGGATGGTACCCCCACGCCACTTTGTTCTGGTATGCCTAACATGCCCCTCTTCATCTGTGCTCCATCCCACCCTCCCAACCTATGTTTACAGAGGGTGGTGAGGAGAGGTAAGAGGGGGGAAACAGGCGGGCGCCGCGGGGGCCCGCGCGGCGCCCCGATGGCGGGAGTCCTCGCCTCGCCTGCACGCGGCTGGGCCCCCCTAACACCGAAGAGGGGTTGGGCATAACTTAAAGACAAGCCTTCTGGGACCTCAGAAGGAAGAGGAAGAGGTGGAGGGGAGGCAGGTCCTCGGCCTGCATCTCCAGGCGGCCCCCGAAGCACTTCTCACAGATCTTCTTGCTGTCGAGGTTGCCCGGCAGCGGGCCGCTGTTCCTGGTGCGTGATGCTCTTGTGTATCTCCATCCGCATCTGGTTCTCCACGTCTCAGGCGGTACGTGGAGGCCCTCGATGGCTGCGGCGTGCCAGGAGCCCGCGGCGTTGTTCCTTATGATGGCGCACTCATGCGGCGCGCACAGGCCTGCCTTCAGCTCAGAGATCTGCTTGGTGATCGCAGCTGCCGGCTTGGCGTCAACGTCGTTAATATTGGCCTCCAGCGCGGCGATGGCCTCCTCCGAGGCACGCTGCGCGTCCTGCTCCTCTGTGGCCGAGATCTCGCCCAGCCTAGTGCGTGGGGCCTGCAGTGCCTCATTCACGTGGAGCAGACTCTTCTTCTCGATGAAGTCCTGCGTGATCTTGTTCAGCGGCGCCTCCTTCGCATAGTGGAGCAGCACCGGTGAGTGCCATCTTGCCATGAGTTCGATCTGATATACATGCAACCCCACTGCCGCCAGCATGCGTGCGCCTCCCAGCCTTGCTGAGTGTCCGCCCAGGAGTATGTTGCCGTCCTCGTCCAGGTGGGGGAGGCCTGCCATGGCGCACATGGTCTCGTACGTGATGACTACCTCCTCCTTCTGGACGGGTCCTCCCGCTGCTGTCGGGAAGAAAGGCATGCCCGAGGGGACGGCGCCATGCTGGTCGGCGAAGAGTCTGTGGACCAGCTCCTTCTGCTTCTTGGCCGCGTGGAACGGGCAGGCGAAGCAGGAGACAGCGTCGCAGAGGCATCCCCATGTCCGTGATGTGGTGAGGGCGGACGGGGCCGCCTTCGAGCCTGGCAAGATCCACCTGACCTCGTTGCGATCGATGTTGATGATGACGTTGCAGTACAATGTGAGGGAGCTCTCAATCTCCCGCAACATGAAGAAGACGCTGGTGGCGGTCATGTTGACGGGGCCCACGGGGCCCCCTGGGGTGACGGGGAGATATCCGACCTTCCCGTCCTTCGCTAGCTGGACGATGGCGGACAGGTCGATCGGCTCCTTCTGGTTGCCAGGACCGATGCCTCGCAACACCGATCTTGTGACCCGTCTGGCCTATAGCTCCAGCTGCTCGCCCCACTCGCCTCCCGTCTCGATGTGCCGCTCCTTGATCTTCGTGAGGTAGTTGGCGAACGACCTGTACCTGCCCGCCTTGAACAGGGCGCCCACTGCCTGCAGCGTCTCCGGCGTGAGTGGGAGGACTGGTGTATGTGAGCCGAACCACTCCTTGTGTAGTTTGTGCCACGTCTCGAGGAGTGAGTCCTTGGCGCCCTTGGCCGAGGCCGCGACGAAGTCCTCCTGGAGCCGTGCGAGGGCCTCGGCTCTGCCCTCCTCGGTTCTCGCAGCTGTGAGCGCTGCGTGCTGAGAGCCACCCCGCGTGAACTCGACCTTTGGAGCGTCGGGTCTCTCTGCGAACTGGAGGCGAGGCTGTTGCCTGAAGTCTGTGCCCTCTGTACGGTTGGTGCTCGCCGATGCTGTGGGTCCGCCTCTATCGCCTGGCGGATCGCTGCGGGCTGTGGGTGGTGATGAGCTGTCACAAAGGCTGATTGTCGGTAGCAATCCCGAAGCCTTCCTCTTGCCCATGCAGGGCTTGAGCCAAAACCCTTCGGACGTGGGGGGTCGGGGTCACCTCGGTGAGGCCGCCCTGGGGCCCCGCCGATGGGGGGGGGGCCCGCGTCGTTTAGGGTCTCCATTCCTTTTCCATTCGGCACACGAATGATGAGCTCGCATATTAAACTGGAAAATCGTGGTGCGCCCTGCTTCTGAAACGTGTTTCAGAGACCAGGGGGCGCTCGAGAGCCAGTCGAGGCCCCGCAGAGGGGGCGCTTTGGGAGCCCCAGGGGGGGTGGGGGGGGGGGGGGGGGGGGGGGGGGGGGGGGGGGGAGGGGGAACCTACCAAAGGTACCGAGAGGGGTTTGAACCCCTCCCGCCGCGGCATGGGCGCCCCATGCAAGACGCCTTGAGTCGGAGCCACGGGAGGCCACGGGCTCGACCAAGGTGGGGAGGTGAGCCTCTTGAGGCCCTGACAGACTTAGGTGGCGGGCCGATCCCAGGTTGGCGTGTCACGGGGGACCACGTGCCACGGGCAACCGAAACTCACGGGGTGCCTCGTGAGGAGGGGGATCGTTTCATGCTTTGTCCCAGCGAGGACATGCACATCAGCTCTGCAATGTCGGCCTTTAGGCCAATTTGAAGAGCATTAAACTGCAATCTGAACGGACACCCCTCCCAGGGCGTGGGTCCCAAGAGACTCGGAACGGCGTCAGCCTAACGGAAAAAGACAGCAGGCGTGACGAGGACTTTCATTTCTTTTTGCAACGCCGAGAGCTCAGGCCCACACCTGAGTACACTTGCGATGGCGGCTGACGGCAGAGCTGAAACAACGAGAGCCCGCTGGCCCACGCGGCCAAGGAGCTCAAGAAATCTGACAGTCTGGCCAGACCTGAAATCAAACCCGAATTCGCAGAAGTCCAAGCTACTTTGCCTTCCACTCCAGCGTTTCCCAGGGTGGGAAGGGCGGGGCGGCAGAAAGGCTTGAGGGGAAGAGGCAGCGGGAGGGGAGAGAGCGAATGCACAAGCGATGTGACCAAATGCAATGCAATCTGAACGGACACCCCTCCCAGGGCGTGGGTCCCAAGAGACTCGGAACGGCGTCAGCCTAACGGAAAAAAGACAGCAGGCGTGACGAGGACTTTCATTTCTTTTTGCAACGCCGAGAGCTCAGGCCCACACCTGAGTACACTTGCGATGGCGGCTGACGGCAGAGCTGAAACAACCGGAGCCCGCTGGCCCACACGGCCAAGGAGCTCAAGAAATCTGACAGTCTGGCCAGACCTGAAATCAAACCCATATCGAACGCTGGAGTATTACCCCATACCAACTCCATTGGCATGCCGAAGGAACTTTGCAGAAGGCTGAACGCTGGGAGGCAACTCAGGCGAGAAATGATAACTGCATGGCCTCCGCACGCTTTGCCTCTGCTTTTACTGCGGCCGAGAGGCGTCTGAAAGAAGCAAGTGCACGGCCGCTCTTTTGATAGCGCTGGACCGAACGGAAGCTCGCCCACCTGCCGCGCGTCTGAATGTCGGCCAGCGAGCGGGCGCCCCTCAGGTAGTCCTCCGACGGACCGCCGTGCCGGGGGAGGTGCGCAGTCACCTTGGTCGGGAGGCCGACAGCGACGGCAGCCTTCTTGAGCAAGCGGTTGTACGACGCGTAGGAGTGGAGGAACATGAGGCGCCCCTGCCGGGCACGGTTGGCGCTCTTGACGAGGGCCATGAGGGCGCCGGCCACGCCAGTACGCGACTGGCCATCGATGAGCACGGTGTCGTCCTGGAGGCCAGTCTTGGTGACGCGAGTGTGCACGTCGTCGCCCATGACGAGCGCGGAGGCACCGACGACGAGCCCCATCTTGTTGTAGCCTGAGCCGGCACTTGGCTGCGGCAGGATGCAGCAGGGCACGCGAAGGTCCAGCAGCTCGCCTGGACGCAGGTACGCGTCGAACTGTACGACCAGGCCGCGGGCGGCTTGCAGGGCAATCTCTGTGTTGAGACCAGCCAGGTACAGGGCCATCAAGCACGCTGCCGCCCAGCAGAGCGGCTCCGAGGTGACGTCCGGCTCGAGCTTGCCCCAGCCGGAGAGGGCGCCCTTCGCCTTTGGGAAGACGTCCGGGGCACGAAGCGACACGCTGAAGCGGTAGGCCAGGGCGGCCAAGGTGTAGCGGGCCGTGCTCTTGCTGCCGGCGTCGACGTAGAGCTGCTCGAAGTACTCCTCGAGGAGCGTGTCCACCAGGGGGAGATCTTTGCTTGCCCAGCGGTCGGCGACAACGCCCATGGCCGTGGCGAACATGACGACGCTGGCGAGGTAGCGGGCCTGAGTGGCCGGCCGCACCTGCGAGCGCCGCAGGAAGCCCGGCGAGGAGTCAGCAGGCACCTGGCGGGCCCGGGCAGCCGACGCCCGGCCTCTGCCGAGGCTTCGGCCTTGCCCGCGGCCGCGGGAGGCCGACGAAGCGGCCCCAGCCCTCGGCGTCGGGGGGCCAGAGCGCGACCCACTTCCGCGGGCAGCTGGGGCACTCGAGGGACGGCTGGAAGTCGTCCATCTTGGCTGCACGGCGGAGCTGAGTCTCCCAGTGACCGGGCAGCAGTGGATCCCCATCTTGTCGCCAAGCTGCCGCGGGCGCCGCGCGCGCCAGGGCCCGAGCGGCGCTGTGGCAGGCACCAGGAGGGTAGGCGCCGGCCAGGGTCGTGCGCCAGAACTGCTTGAGCCGACCCTGGCGATCAGGGACCTTGACCTTCCCCTGAAGATGCTCGTGGGCATGACCTCCAAGACAACGCCTTTCAAGGGTACCGAGCTCGGGGAGGTCAGACTCAATCCTGGTGGGCTTCTGGTACGGGGCTCCAAACCGACAGCAGTCATACACCACGGAGACCTTGCTATGCTCGGACAGGAACTTCTGGAGAGGCTCCCAAGAGAAGAGCCGGGAGCCCCGGGGGTTCTCGAGGGACCACCTGACGCCGAACTGAACGCACAAACGAAGTAGACGAAGAGTGACATGAGCACACCGCCGACCGGCACGTATAGCAGACGTATCATTGGCCCCACGACGAGCAACTGACCACGGAGCGCACGGAGTCCCGAAGTGCACGAACCAGACCTTGCGAGAGACAATCCACTGGCGAACGACGGACTCGAGGCCGGGCCGAAGCAGGTCGCCCCAGCCACCGAACTTGATGTCGATCGGAGCCGCGACCGCCAGACCGAGCTGCGCGAGAGCACCCGTCCAGCGAGCCCCCCCCGAGAAGATCTCGAGAGCCGCCCGACGTCCACGAAGCCGAGGTACAGGAACACGAACCGGCTCGACCGCGACGAACGGCAGGGGCGGAGGGGGCGGCAGCCCGGGAAGCCCTGTCGTCCATTTTCGGCCAGGCCGGGCATGCAAGCGAAGGCTCCCGAAGGCAGGCGGCCCGCGCGGCGCGCTCCCGACGCGCGTGCGCGGCCCGGAGCGGCCCAGACGTGAGGGGCCCGCTCGGAAGAGAGGGGCCGAGGCCCCGGCCCGAGTCGCCGTCCGACTCGTCCGAGGGCCCCAGCAGGCCGCGGCGGGGGCGCCGGCCGCGGTCGTGGGCGGCGGCCGCGTGGGCAGGCCGCAGGCGGCGACGGGTCGCGGGCCCCCTCGGCCTCGTCGATCGTCGCCTCGCGTGCAGGGTGGCCAGGGGCGCCGGCTGCGGGCCCCTCTTGTGGCCGGGGGGCGAGCCGCGGCCCGCAGCGGCCAGCAGCCCCAGATGCCCGCGGCGGCGGCCGCGGCGGGCGGGTCTGCTGTCGGCCGCCGCGCAGCCGCGCCGCGGGGGGAGGCTCGCAAGCCTCCTCGGCGACTGGCCAGCTGGCGGTCGCCGAGGGCGCCGGCGGGGCCGGCGCCGGGGGCGCCGACTGCGGGCACCCAGCGGGCGGGGCGGGCCACGCCGACCTGCCGCCAACCCGCCGCTGTCCTGGGCGGTAGACGCCCTGGAGCGCCTTCCTCGAGCCCGCGTCACTGAGGTTGCGGTCCGTGTCGAGGTGCCGCCGCCGCCAAGAGATCCCGCAGGCGATCTGGTAGGCGGCGGCCCGCCGGCACAGACAGGCGAGGCCGTGGTCCACGGCTCGCCCCTTCTCGACGGAGAGGAGCTCCGACATGTTGTCGCCCAGGCTGAGCACCCGGGAGCCGTGGCAGTCGACCTGCCGGGCGGCGTGTCGCAAGCCGCCCAGGGCGATGCGGCCCTCCAGCAGGTGGATGGGGGCGCTGCGGCGCCAGGCGCCCTCGACGATGAGAGACCAGTCCCTGGGATCGACGAGGCTGTCGGGCACGGAGACGCCTGCAGGCCGCACAGTGGGTCTGAGCCGGCCTTTGAGCACGCCCCGGGCGCCCTCCCTCGAGCGCGTCGGCGGGGGGGCCCAGACGGCCACGCCTGTAGCGCCCGGCGGCTCGCCCAGCACTCCACCAGCACCAGGCACCCAGCCTGGGGAGAAGGTGTCGTCGAGCGCCGCGTCGGGGCGCTTCTCGTTGGGGACGAACCTCCACCTCTCCCGGGTAGCAGCCAGCTGCCGAAGGAGTCGAACGTCAGCACGTCGGCGATGGAGGGCGTAGCCAGCCTCGGACGGGTCGGAGCACAAGACCAGGGAGGACATCGGCCGGTCCAGGAAGACGACGGCCTGGAAGATGAGCCCCCTGAAGAGCTGGATCTCCCGGCGGGCCCCAGCAGACAGCGCGACTGGAGGCCCCTGACCCTGCGCGTCCACGAAGCGGTAGAGCAGGCGGAAGATCGAGAGGGCCGGCCGCAACAGCAGGCAGTGCTGCACACAGTGCCCGAGGAACACGCGGATCTGCCAAGCCGCGCGTGGAACCCCAGGGCGCTCGAGCTCCTGACAGGCCAAATAGAGGCGCCAGGCTCGGTGATCTGAATGCCGCAGCCGCCTCCGCTTCCCGTCGTACTCGACGCCGACGGTGGTGAAGTGCGTGGCCGGACCCTCGACCTCGTGGCACGCGATGCCGAGCGAGTCGAGCTTGTCCTTCGCGGCCTGCAGCGCGTGCCCGACGTCGTCGCTCGAGAGGCCCAGGAACGAGACGTCGTCCACGTAGACCGACCCGGTGGGGCGGAAGGGCGCCGCGACGGGAGCCGGCTGCTTGTCAAGCAGCAGGCGGCGGACACCACCCGGCAGCGTCTCCGAGACCCAGGACGTGACGGACGAGTGCACGGCCCAGAGTGCCCAGGACCACCCCATCGGCACCCTGCGGAAGACCGGGAAGACGAGCTCGTCGGGGTCGACAGGGGACAGGCCGTCGGGCGTCCAGATGTGGGAGACCTGGTAGTAGGACGCCCGCTCTGGAAAATCCATCCCGAAATCCTCCGCGACGCGCTCCGAGAAGAACTGGTAGAACGAGTCCTGGAGGTCGAGGGACGACCCGAAGATCTGGGCAGGCGAGCCGTCGGCACTATCTCGACCGGCGCCCGAGAGCGCAGCATCGGACCAGTCCTGCTCGCTGAGGGCGGCCGGGGTCCCGAGGGCGGCGTGCGGGGGCGCCCAGCGGGTGCGGTTGGTGTCGCGAGCGTGGACGACCAGGCGGATCCAGCCGCCCTTCTTCTCGACGAAGAAGCACCCCACGCGTGACCTGATCCGCCGCCGGAAGCCCACCAGCCCGCGCTCCGCGAGCCTGAGGAGGAAGTCCCGGCGAAGGCGGGCGTCGCTGGCGAGCCGCACGTCCCAGTACGGCTTGACCGGCGGCAGGAGCTCGAGGTCTTGCTCCACCACGCGGTCCGGCTTGCGGATGTAGGCGTCGGGGTCGCGGAAGGCGTCGACGACGAACTTGGGGCAGACCTCCTCCACGTCTCGAGGCGTGACCGAGGACTGCCAGAACTTGAGCTTGGACTCCTCGTACGGGACCACCTTGGACGGCGCTCCACCGTAGAGCGAGTCGGACTTGAGGAGCTCCTGAAGGGCTCCGCGAGGGTGAAGGTCTGCCGGGCGAGGGCCGTACTCCGCCACGCAGCGGCCGAGCTGCCGGCCGCACGAGGACGAGGTCGCCGAACCCGAAGTCCCTGAATCGGCAGCGCCACCTGGCCCGCGGCCACGATGGCGCACCGCGCAGGCGGCGAGACAGTTGATCGAGTGAACTGCCTCTCGAACACGGTGTTCACGAGGGCGTCGCTGAAGCACCCGCTGGCGCAGGTACCGCGGCGCCCCGCTGAGGTCGACCGGCGGGCCAGGCCCCGGGACCGAAAGCGGCAGCGGGTCCCCGTGCGAGGAGCGAGATCCCGACGCCATGAGGAGGGCGTGGAGGCGTCCGCGGCGGAGGAACCCGCGGCGGCAGCCAGGCAGGGCGGGGCGCCGCAGGACGCCCAGCCCCAGGAGGGGGCCGGCCGGCCCCCTGCTACTTGCCAGCGTCGGCCCCGCCGCCTCTGGGCCCCTTCGGGGGCGCCTTGGGCTGCGCGGCCGTCCTCTCCTCCTGCCACTGCCGATTCGCCTTCATAGTCTGGGCGCGGGCCCGCGCCTGATCGCCAACCCATCCATCGAACTCTGGCAGCACCATGCCACCCGTGTCGTCGACGCCCGTGTCGAGGATGAGGTCGAGCCCCTCGAAGTCGGGAGCCCGAGGGTTCTTGCGGGTGGCCGACTCCAGCTGCTTGAGCCGCCTGACGAGGTACTCGGCGCCCGCGATGTTGAACAGGTCCAGCTGGTCGAACTGCTGCATCATCCGAAGCGTCACGCAGATCATGTGGTGCTCGCGGGCCACGTTGCCACGCTCGGCCACCCCACTGCGTCGGAGCCAGGTGGTGTGGTGCTCTTCCCAGTTGCCCTGCCCTCCGTCGCGAAGGGAGAGCACGGCCTCCCTCGTGGCCCTGCGGCCCTGCAGAGGCCAGCCCGGGATCGTCGTCTCCTTCATGCGGCGGACCGAGTCGCGGAAGTCGATGTACCTGCCACCGTCCTGGTCCCTCTCGTCGCCGACGACGCGTGGGTCCCGGCCAGCGCCGCCACGAGCTCTCGCGAGGTAGGTGTCGAAGTTCTGACCCTCGCCCACCTTGATCGCGTGGATCCAGACGTCGTCGAGCCGCACGAGCCCGACGTCGCCGCGCCGCACCAGGACCTCCTCGTTGGCGAGCACCTGGGGCGGCACCTCCTCGCCGAAGTGCGACGAGGTGGGGTCGCTGACGTACCACTTGTCGCCCTGGAGGCCCACCACGCCCGCGAGGTCGAAGCCGAGGATCGTGCCGAGGGCCCTGGCCTCCTCGAGGTAGCCCTGCATATCCTCCGCCGCCACGTCGTCGAAAGCGTAGATGTTCCCAGCATGCCGGGCCGGGAACTGTCCCGACCTCCGAAGGGCAAGCACCCGAAAGGTGGCCAGGTCCACGAAGGCCACCTCCCCGTCCGGCGTGAGCCAGATCCACTTCTGGGCGTCCCCCTTCACCAGCAGGACTCGGTGGTGCCACTGAAAGTTGGCGTCGTCCTCGTACCTGGCGAGGCACTGGCTGAACGGCGTGTCCAGCGCTCGGGCCATGGCGGCCCCTAGTCACTGCGGGAGCCTGGAGCCCGTCGGCCTCGCCCGAGAGCCGACGGAGTCGCGACGTGCGTGCCGCCGGCGTCGTCCTCGACGGCGAGGGCCCGCGCTCTCGCGGCCGGCCGAACCGGCGCTCCAGCCGCCAGCCAGGCCGCTGTCGCCAGCCCAGCGCCAAGGGCCACGCCCACCACGGCGGCGCCGCAGAGGTCGAGCCCCGTGTAGTGCCCCAGCGGAAGCGGGCACGGCGGGCAGGGCTGGCACGCGGCCCCCTGCAGGTGCTCCGGGCCGCAGCGCGCCAGCTGCTCCCGGAGGATGGCCACGAGGCCGTCGGTGGTGTCCGAGCCCTCGAACACGCAGCGGCAGGAGACCTCGGCGACCCCGCCGCGGCCAGCCCCGGCCCAGCGCTCGGAGAGCGCCCCGAGAACCCAGCCGCCGGCTGCGCGCACCCACGCGGCCATGAAACCTTCACGGCAGAAAGGCTCGAGGGGAAGAGGCAGCGGGAGGGGAGAGAGCGAATGCACAAGCGATGTGACCAAATGCAATCCCGCGCACTCAACCCGCCCCCGTATTCTGCACTTGCGAAGCGGGCGGGAGGGCGCGGAAGAAGCTCGGCAGGCGAGGCGCCACGAAAAATTCGGTGGCGGTGGCAAGGGCGCGCGGGTGCCTGGTCTGGTGTCCCGGCTGTGCTCTCCTGCTGAGCTCGTCGGCATGTCATTGGCAATGCCCGGGATGTGTGCGTAGTACCTGGGCTTGTAGGCGCAGTCGCCGAATTCGAGGGCCATCTCTCGGCGTACCACACCGAGGCCGTACGAGGCGGCGCGGGCCCTGAAAGTGAGCAGGAGGGTGAGCGTGGAGATGCGATCCGCCGTCGCTGCGAGGTGGATGCCCTGCTGCAGCCACGCTTGCCTCCACAAACGTAGGGCGACCAACATGGCCAGGGCCTCCCATACCTGCTGCCCTGCGGCCTCGCCCAATGGGACGTGCATGATGTCCGCGTCGGTCTGGGTGAGCGGGCTCGTGAAGCATGCCATGATCACGATCTCCACGAGTAGATGCCCGCCGAGCCCCCAGGGGGAGGCGTCGGTGATGATCGCGATCTTCTTGGCATAGCCGAAGTATGCACTGACGCGGTAGGTCCGCTTGAGGGAGCCCATGATCCCCTCTTGGAAGGCATGGATCCATGCGAGGGCTTGTGCCATCTGCTTGGTCCAGATGCACTGACGTGGGGCGTTGCTGGTCTCGCCCCGCTTGTAGGCTGCGATCGTGCTCCAGATGTCCTGTAAGAATGGGCGCCACGCCTCGATCATGCCCGCGATGTGGTTGGCCTTGCCCACGAGCGACTGTACGTCCTTAATCGCAGCGACGTTCATCTTGCGCATGTCGTTGACCATTTGGCGCACGTCGTCTACAATGTCCTGCTTGGCTGTGACCACAATGGCCTGCTCTGGTTGCTGCTTGACTGTCAAGTGAGCTCCGATCCAATCGACCTCTGGGCCTCGGTCCGCCTTCTTGAAAGCGAGGTTGAGGCCCAGCGCCCTCCAGGTCAAGATGACGAGGGCGAGACACCTGTCGCGCTGGCTCATGATCCCGCGCGCCGCGATGATCGGGTCGTCCACGTAGATGTGGAGGCGGAGCTCATTTGACCAAAACAATGACTGAGTGAGTCGTGCAATCATGGCGGCTACCGGACCGCACACGAGGGGTGCATTCACACTGCCCTGGGCCATGGTCAGAAAAATGATCAACTCTCCGTCGAAGTATGCGACGAAATGCCTGCGCTCCTGACGCTTGAGCGGTATGTTGTAAAACCAGTCCGTAAAGTCAAGCACTAGCCACTCCACTCCTTCGTCAGCGTTCGAGTGGCATTCCTTGGTGAGGTAGAGGGCGTCGTCGATCACGTCCGACAGCCTCGGGAGCACGATCCTCTGCCTCTGCTTTGCCGTGGCGTTGACTCCGGACTCCTTGCAATCTAAAATCAAGCGCCGCTTGATCTTACCATTCTTGACTTTGGTGATCATGCCCAACTTGGATACGTTGGGCTTGGCCCCAAGCCATGAGCATGCGTCCCTATATGACTTGAACGTCGCGACGTAGCCTGTAGCTTTGAGCCTCTCAACCTCAGGCTTCGCCTCAGGGTCGTCGTCCACCGACGAGTAGTTGTGAAACGAGGGCTCGCCACCATGCTCATCCAGTACCTCGAGTAAGGGCTTGATCTCATCCGCGTCAACCGCAGGGAAGATGCCCGGATCCGTGGTGTCCACCTCGATGCCCGCTGGGGTCCGTGCTTGAGCCAATCCTCGATGTGGTCAGCGTCGATGTCGTTGGCACGCCTGGCCCGTGCTGCGAGTGGGCTCGCTCGGATGGGTGTGTTGTACATCTCGCCCGCGACGCACATGGTGTCCTTGGTGCCCACCATGTCCCCGATGATGACGGCCACTTGGTCCAGCATGTTGGCGTCGGGGCCTGCCGCCTCTGTGTCTGAACCTATGGCCTCGAGGCATGCGTGCTGGACGTGCGGGTTGGCATCCAAATGCTGCTACAGACCCTGTCTGAGCTGCAGGCTGATCGCCCCGTAGTTGACTAGCTTCTCTATGCTCTGCCTGGGGTGCCTCATGCCCCCGATGCAGTTCTCGTTCTCCAGCTCCCTGACCTTGACGTCCATCGTCCGATTGCCTTTGAGCGAGTGGCTGAAAACGATCTTGTTCGTCGCCTTCATCTCCCCCTGCTCTGAGCGATCTGGCTGTCTGGCGTCCTGCTTCCTGACCAGCGCGTTGCGCCAGTAGCCGACGTTCACGAGCTGCTCATGTTCATGCGACCTTGCACTTGTGATCTGTCTTGCTCTGGTCGCCAGTTTCACTGCTAGGTGCCCGTTGAAGCCCGTGGGGTACGCCTGGGCGCCCTGTGTCAAGAACGGGGCGTTGGCGTACTTGCGGTGGTACTGTGTGTCGTTCAGGAGCATGTCTCTTTTCCACTCGCCCGCGGGTATCATCTTTTCCTTGCCCACTAGAGGTGGGCGAGGTCCGTAGTGCCATTCGCCTGTGGACGGCCGCCTCCACCAGCGTGACTCGTGCTTGCACCTGCCGGAGGCATCCGAGAGGTCGATACCCGTCGCCATGAGGGTGGATCTCTTCTCGGCCTCGGCACCGTACGCGCACTGGACTACTGTCGTGATGGAGATGTTCCCGTTGTGTCGGATGGCCTGGAACTCGTCGAGGTTGTACATGCTCGTGCTCTCGCTGTCCTGAGGGTCGAAGTGGGGCTGCTCGTTGATGGTCGGCGTGTTGTCCGTGATGCTGCTTGCCAGCATGCCCGCTGCCCGCACAGCCATCAGCGTGCCCATCTTGACCTTCTCCTTGTCCTGAGGTGCCAGCTCTTTGAGTCCGTATCTGTCTGCACCTCGAGGTCCGCGAAGCGGCGGTGGGCCGCCGTCGCCTTCCCTGCGTCTTCTCCGAGCTCTCGTGAAGGTGTTACAAGGTGGTGTCATCAGTATGCCAGCAAACTCCGCTTTTCGTGCCATCAGTCTTCTCCAGTTCTCCTCCCCGGCAAGGTCCTGGTCATCGCCGTTGATCTTGTCCCATTCCTCACACAGGCCTCCCATCTCCTGAATCGCCTGGGCGAACCCGTCCTCGCGTCCCGCTGGTCCGCTGAACAGGTACAGGAACTTGAGGCCTTTCGCGAGGTCCTGAGGGAGCTTCTTGGTGAGATCGCAGGCGTAGATGTTGGCATCGGAGTCCTCCTGTGATTTTGTGTCTGGCTCGTGCTGGTTGGCGAAATCGTGATCCGTCTTCAGTGACACGCTTCTGCTGGAGTTACCATGAGCATCCGAATGCCGCTTCACTCCGGGATCCGCAGTACGCCCGCACTTCTCGCCCTGCGGCTGTGTGTCTGGAACCGTCGGGGGCGCCGCTACCTCCCCCGACGGGTTGGGCGGGGGCCACCCCCGCCCGCTGCCTCTGCCGTCTCCTCTCCCGCCACCTCGTGCCGACTTGTTGGCGCGGGGTGGGCGGGCTGCCTTGTGCGTGCACGCGTTGGCGCCGTGGTCGATGGACAGGCACTTCGCGCACTGGTGCTTGAGGCGTGGGATCCTGCGGCAGTTGTTCCGTGCGTCATGCTCCGTGCACTCGCCCGTCTGAAAGCCTCTGCACAGCTCCATGTTCTTCCTGTTGTGGGTGAAGAGGCCGTCGGAACCAACTTTATGCGTCCTGCTGTTACCGCTGTCGCCTCCTCCGCCACCTCCGCCTCCACCGCCGCCGCTGTGCGAGTCGCCGCCACCATTGCCCCGCGGGCGTTTGGCTGGTGCCTGTGGTGGCGGGAGTGCTGCCAGTGGCTGCGTGGTGAGGCTGGAGTTGGCGTGTGACATCGGCATGATCGGGGCGTCGTGCTCGATCATCTGGTTGAGGGATGCCGTGCGAGCCAGCACGAGTACTGCGGGTTCCTGTACTTCTCTCAGCCAGAACTGGACGTCTGATACTAGCTTTGACCAAACCCACTCCCATGGCTTGGTGTCGTCGAAGTCGTGGAACGCCTGCGTGGCTATGACACGCTCCTTCTCGTCCTTGCCGATCATCCGCAACCTCTCCGACAACTCGGGTCTCGCTCGAACGTCTGCTTGGTGTATCAGCGCCCAACACTGGCGTCCGTAGCGTTCGTGTAGTCCTCTGAGGTGTTTCTCGTAACCGCCCAATCTCGCTGGAGATATCTGGTCGAACATAATGCACATATCATGCTCGCCAGTCCTCGAAATCTGCGGGGCCTGTGAGCTCGATGGATGTGACCTCGCCCGTGGGTGAGATCTTCACGCCGCGGAGCCTGATCTTCTTTTGTATTATGTGGTGATGCGGCCCCCATGCGGCCATATCCATGCATGGTGCAATTCCTGATTGGAGCGCCTCGAAGAGGGTGGAAAGCTGCTCCTTGCTCAGCTCCTCTTCCGCTGGAGGGAAGGCCCCGATCCTGTCGTAGTACTTCTTGTACGCCGCCTTGATGGCGGCCTCGTCCAAGATGTCGATCTCCGTGTCGTCCGTCTGGTTGATCGTGCCCGCCATCTTCACCTTCCGCTTGGCTGGCGAGCTCATGTTGTAGTTGGCGGCGCTAGACGCCGTTGCCTGCGCGGCTGCTGCTGCTGCTGCCGCTGCTGAAGGTTGCGTGCCAACCGTCACTCTGCATGCTCTCCCCAGCAGCCCAGCCTGGGACAACTGTGCCGGAGTGGGATCCTGGCTCTGGGGGTCCCCGCCGCCTGCTTGTGGGATCTGGAGCTTCCACGCGGCGATGATGGCTGTGTAGTCGTCGGCGTTCAGATTGCCGACGACGCGTGGGTGCTCCGCGCTTGTGATGCCGAGCGCCTGGTACAGCGACCCCCTCGGCGTCGATGTGTCGGTGCTGTCGCCTGCTATGCCCGTCCAGGCGGCTACGTCACTGATGCACGTGAAGCCGCTCTGCTCCTGGTCTGTCGGGTCGATGGACGTCATCCGTCGATCCGTACTCTGAACCCGGACGGCAGCAGGAGACTGCGGGTCTTGCCCGCGGACAAGAGGCGACAACGGGCAGCGCAGTACCCGCACGTGCACACACCGAACGTGTAGACGGTGAGGGCCACCAGCAGCGTTGCAAGGAAGATAGCGTTAGCGATGACCTCCACCTCCTCGGGCTGGTGGACGAGGGGGCCCAGAGCGGTCCCTGGCATGCACAGAAGGAGCAGGGGTTAGCAGAGCCCTCCTCGTGCCGAGGGAGGGGGAGGATAATCTCGAAACCACTTGAGCCAAAATGGTTTCGGATGCAATCCCACCCGCCCCCCGACGCACAGAGGGGGGGATGTTACCCCCACACCACTTTGTTCTGTTATGCCCCATCAGATTCGCCATCATCATCAGCATCAATAGATCTATCATCATCATCCGCATCATCATCGTCATCATCACGAGCGTCATCATCATCAGCAGCATAAGCAGCAGCATCATCAACATCATCAGCATAATCATCATGATACTCAGCAGCAGCATGATCATCAACACTATTACCAGCACCACCACCACAACGACTACCACCATCATCAGCAGCATCGTCAGCAGCAGTAGCAGCATAATCATCATCAGCATCAGCAACGACACCATAATCATCATCACCATCTCCACAACCGCCATCACCATCAGCATCATCAGCAGCAGCACCATCATCAGCAACAGCACCATCATCATCAACAGCATCATAAGCATCATTATCAGCATCATGATCGTCATTATCAGCAGTATCATCACCAGCATCATCATCATCGCCAACGTCAACAGTATCACCAGCATCACCAGCATGTTCATCATCATCATCACCAGCAGCAGCATCTTCAGCTTCATCGCCATCGTCATCATGATCAGCATCATCAGTATCGTCATCACCATCATCATCATCATCAACATCATCAGCATCATCCTCATCCTTATCATCATAGTCCCAGTCGTCGTCACCATCGTCAGCAGCATCATCATGATCATCATCACCATCATAATTAACCCTCCTCGCTCCTCGAACTCCTCGCTCCTCGCTCCTCCTCCTCGCTCATCGCTCCACGCCTCTCGTTTCCCGCTCCTCGCTCAGTGCTCCTCGCTCCACCTCCTCGCTCCTCGACCCTCGCTCCTCGCTCCTCCTCCACCTCCTCGTCCTTCTCCTCCTCCCCCTCCTCCTCGAGTTCCTCCTCCCCCTCGCCCCCTTTTCCTTACATATAGCTACTCCCTGTTGCACCCTGGTGCCAGTCGAAAGGGCGGACAAGGCGGTTCGCCTGAGACTGCCTCGCAACATATGGCCCAGATGCTAAAAGTGACAGGTGTTTGAGAGAATGAAGGACGGCCGCTTCAAATATGTGGCTCTCGCCTTAGCGCCGCGCACATCCTAAAACATTGCACGAGTTTAGCGGGTTGAGAGCGGCTCATTTTCGAAATGTGGCCCTCGCCTCAGCGACGCGGCCATTCGTTGTAAACATGTGGATTCGCAGGGCTACCGTACTGAAATGATGTTTGGAACGATTCAGGACTGTCAGGGAGCAGCAGTTACTCAGATCCGCGGTGTTCAAGTCCCAGGAATAGTGTTCTGGCACGACGCAGCATTGCCATGACGTAGCAGTTAGGTTAACTCGTGGCGTTTAGGTCTTGAGAATCGTGTTCTGGCACACTTCAAGATGTGCACACGATTGTCCTACAACGGGGCAGTTCCCTCAGTGGGAACGACCCCTTTTGTCGGGGCCCATAAAAAGGGATCGTGGAGGAAAGGTGTACTTCAACATCGCTGATGAGTCTTGAGTCTCCGCTGGTCCTCCTCCTCCTCCTCCTCCTCATCATCGCCCCACGCGCCTCGCTCCTCGCTCCTCGCTCTTCCTCTTCCTCTTCCTCTTCCTCGTCCTCCTCCTCCTCCTCCTCTTCCTCCTTCTATTCCTGCTCCTCCTCCGCCTCCTCGCCCATCGTTCCTCGCTTCTTCTCCTCCTCCTCATCATCATCACCCCCCTCCTCCATCTCCTTCTCCCCCTCTTCCTCGTCCTCATGCTCCCCTTCCTCCTCCTCCTCTTCCTCCTCCTCCTCATCATCATCATAACCAGCATAAGCAGCAATGTCAACATCAACATCCTCATCATCACCAGCATCATCAGCAGCATCGTCATCATCATCATCATCATCATCATCACCATCATCATCATCATCAGCAGCATCATCATCATCATCATCATCCTCATCCTCATCATCCTCATCATCATCATCACCACCATCATCATCACCACCATCATCATCATCATCATCATCATCATCATCATCATCATCATCATCGTCATCATCATCATCATCATCATCATCATCATCATCAACACCACCGTCATTATCATCATCAGCGTCATCATCAGCAGCATCCTCATCATCATCAGCATCATAATCATCATCATCAGCATCATCATCATCATCATCATCATCATCGTCATCAGCATGATGGCCATGGTCTTTATCATCATCATCAACAGCATCATCATCATCAGCATCATCATCGCAACCACCAAACCAACCGCCACCGTCACCAGCATAACCACCACCAGCATCAGCAGCAGCAACAGCAGTTGCAGCAGCCGCATCATCATCATAATCAACATCATCAACACCAGAGTCACCATCACCATCACCATACTTCTCATCATCAGTATCAACATCATCAACATCACAGTTCGGGGGCGCGCAACCATGGATTAGCGGTCCATGGATTTGGCGCGATGTCGCCAAATCCATGGATCGGGGAAGGCGCCCTCCCCAAAATGCGGCTGGTGCCGCCTCGCTCGGCGTCGGAAATCCGAGAAGCCCTATGGATACGGGACCCGTCGCAAATCCGCGCTCCCTTGATCCATATTTGCGATCGCCTGAATAGTGAGCATCATTATCATCATCATCATCATCATCAGCAGCAGCAGCAACATATTCATTGTCATCATCATCATAATCAGCATCATCGGCATCATCATACATCATCATGGCCAATCAGAACTCCTCATTACAATCATCACTCAACACCATCGTCACCACAACCGTCATCATCATCAAACCCATCATCATGTGCATCATCTTCAACAACATCATCATCATCATCATCATGTTCATCTTTATCATCGTCATCGTCGTCGTCATCGTCAACGTCATCGTCATCATCATCATCATCATCATCATCATCACCATCATCATCATCATCATCATCATCATCATCATCATCATCATCATCATCATCATCATCATCGTCATCGTCATCGTCATCATC